AGAACCTGAGTGCCTAAAACCCCTGTGATCTTGTGGGTAACAGTTCTCCTCTCAGCCACAATGAAGAGCATGTTCACTTCACTGGAGAGTACTGGAAAATTAATTTCCTTGTAACAATGCTGCTGCAGGGCCTAAGCCCTTGAGGAGGTGACACTGGCGCTTGCCACCATGAGCTCCACAGAGAAGACAGACTCTCACACACTGGTTAGGAAATAACAAAGTTCAGAGACACAAAGCCCTTTAATGTCCCAGCTACTGCACTGATCTTCGTCCTGCCATGGGATCAGATGATATGAATGTGATATGATTCCTTCTGATGCAGGAGCCCTGTGATATAGGTTGATTTCTGTGAAATCTTTTGGAGTGTCCCAGTTTTTTAACCTCAAATCCTGCGTGAGAAGCTGAGCCCAGGTCCTGCACTTTCAGGGATTTTGCTTCACAGGGAGGTTGTCCTGAGGCCGGTGACCCCTTTTCCTCCAGGAAAAGGCTCAGGTGCTCAGGTTCAGAGCAATCCCACCTGGGACATACAGCATATCTGTGGGTGGGAGCAAAGGTCCAAAGTATCCCACAGTGCCCAGAAGTGGCTCTGTCATTGTCACCAGCACTGCTGAGGGGTGACAGACTGGCTGGTGGAGACGCACCAGGGACAAAAACAACAGGAGAAGTACCAACAGGAGAAAAAGTACCATCAACACCTCCTATGTTAGAACAGGAGGTGTTGATGGTACTGATGTCAGTGGTCATCCAGATCACAGTGCCCACCCTCCTGCAGCTTCTCAGAGACCAGGATGGGCCCAGACACAGGACAACAAGTTGGTGTTGCACAGAGAGTGACAGGACAGCGAGACAGGTCCCTGCCAGCTCCCGGCCAGAACAGAAGGGAACATGCAAACCCAGCACGATTTTCTCACCTAAAAAAAGCCCAGCAGGCATGAGGAGGACTTGACAGCTGTCATCCTCTGCATTATTCCAGGGAATCCTGGAAAGATTGGCTGAACACATCGTGTCCTGGTGCTTGCATGCTGGGTGGGCTGCTCACACACACCCACCCTCGTGTGTGTGGGAGTGCCACTGAAACCATTCTGGGTTTGCTTTTGCTTTAAAGTCCGAGACTCTCCTTTCCTGGGAGGTCTCACACTGGAATGTCCTTGGCACAGAGGCACATCCCAGCTGAGCTCCTCTCCAGCCCCTTCTCTGCACAGGCAGAGTGGGTTTGTTGAACAAACAAATGCATAAACAGGATGGAGACCAAAAGATTAGAGGAGTCTGATGATTGATGAGAGTACAGATCCTCAGGTACAGGCCATCCAGGTGGAAGTCTCTAAGTGAACCAAGTTCTGACTCTTCTGAAGGAGAGATTTTTCATAGAAGCTGAGTTAGGCCAGACAGATCCCTGGGGCAGAGGACACAGGCTGGAGGGGAGTACACAGACAGAAAAGATGACAGCAGAGAAGATTGGAAAAGAGAAAAATACCCTGGAGATCTTCTTCCCTGTCACCTGGAATGACTGAGGTCCCCTCAAGAGAAGGAGCTCTCTGCTTTGCAGGAAGGAGGCTGTAAGAGGTTGTGAGTGGAAGTGATGCCAAGTGACTGCCTCATGAATCTCATGTTGAGAGAGGAGCAGTGGGAGATCACTTCACCAGCAGCACAGAACAGAAAGACTCTGTCTCCTGAATTAATAACCTGAAGCAACTGTTCTGCTTCAGGCAGCCACACGAAAATCCAAAATTCATACACAAGTTGCATTTTCTGGGTGTTATTATTTCAGATGAAATTCAAAATCAGAGAAGCAGGACAGGACACAGAACTATTCAAACACTGCATGTGGGACTTGCCTTTCCCCACATTAGATGCACTAAACAAAAGGCTCAGAGCAGGTATTCAGTAACACCATGGAATAAGGCAAGAGAGTTCCTTGGTAGATACAAACAGGTCCCCAAAAAAGCAGTAATTGACTATGCCTCCCACAGCAAACTCACCCAGCCTTTGTGTCTCATCAGAAAAAGGATTTACAGGAGAGCAAAACTCACGTCTCATTGAGCTTTTCATCATTTTCTTGCAAGATGATCCTGCTGGCAAAGCCACTCTTAGCCCAGCCCTTTGGAAGGGAAGCCAAAGCACTCCCTGTGGCATCAGCCACACAGTCAGGTGTTCCTCCCTCCTGCTCCTTTCTCCTTCCTTAGGAGAATAAAGGACACCAGCTGGCCCCCAGCCCCCCCAGGCTCAGCTCCCAGAGCCCTCCTGTCCCTCTGAGTGTGTCCCCTTGCAATGGACACACACCCAGGTGCTCCCACAGGGACATGTGCACCTCCCCAAATCCCCGTTCCTTCCAAAATCACTGCACTGGTGCCTGCAGCACCAGCTTCAGGCCCTGGGCCATAGGTGGACAACAGGTAGGGCGTGCATATATAGAGCTGAGTACATCACCTGAACCCCCAGGACCATCAACCACACCCCCACGACCATCAACCACACCCTGAGGACCATCAGCCAAACCCCCAGAACCATCACCAAACCCCCAGACCCCTCCTGCAGGGCTGCACTCAGCTCCTTGTTCCCCTCTCTGTAGGTACCTCCAGGATTACCCTGGCCCAGGAGAAGAACCCAGCATTTGTCCTTGTTAGATGTCATCTGGTTGGTGACACACTCAAATCTACCAAGATCTCTAAGGACCCTCCATTCTCAAGGGACTCAGGGTCTCCTCCTGATTTAAGATCACCAGAAACAAACCTCCTTAAGAGTGTCCAGGTCATTGACAAAAAGATCCAAGAGAATTGGCCCTAAACCTGAGCACGCCAGCCTGATGTTACCCATGGACTGCAGCTCTTGGAGCCCAGATGTTCCCCCAGGGAAGCAGAGCTGGAGCCACACCACAGTGCTGAGCTGCAGAGAGTGTTTCAGCACTGCCCTGGAGTGCACAGAGCACCAGTGGGGGTCCACAAGGCTTGACTCAGGGCAAGAAACACCTGGGCAGGTGTGTTGTACGTTAATATTTCAAGTATGGGCTGAATGAATTACAGCTCATTAGTTAGGGCTCTCTGCTGCCTCCGTTTGTGGGTCAGGTTTGCATCATCTAATTATTCCAAACTCAAATTATTCCATCATTCTCTCATCATAGACATTGCTGGTTTGAGAAAATGAGGCAAAATCCCTCCTAAACCCTGCTGTTTCTGCCCTCTCTCACTTGCATTCGTTTTTGGAAGAGTGTGCCAGTTGCCTGATACCAAATTGACTAAGAGGAGTGAGATAAGCAGCTGTTTGCTGTTGATAGATGCAATATTGCACACACAGCCACTGTGAGCAATTAAAAGCTTTATTTATTGCTATCTCTGTAGTGTGGTTTAAGAACTCAAAAGGTCAGCTACAGTGGCAACAACGAATAGCACATATTAATTAGATGTAATTATAAAGATTCCCGGACAAAATATGAGCTGGGATCAGCCTGGTCACCAAGAGGCCACTCAAATATTTGATAAAAATGAGACTGCATATCTGGTTTGATAAGCTGGACTGTGGGCTTTATCACACATGTGCTCTGTCAGTGAGGAGAGAAGGTATTAATATAAGTGAAGCCTGTAGCAGTCTCTATGGTTACAGCTAACATTTTCTAATATAAGCCATTGTCTTCAGATGCTTAACTTTCCATGTTTCAACTGCTTAGGCTGAAATTTTCCATCACTGCTCATTGTTTCCAGGTGAATTCTCTAGCAATCAGGTTAGCAAATGTACTGGAGAATTCGAGCAGATTCTCATGCTGAAACAGCAATTGGAAATTGGGCAGGGACTCAATCTTCTCATCTGTTCCCATCCTCTCCAATTTACCCCATGGCTTGGTGACTTTCAAAGACTCAGCAGATCCTGCTGGAGGTTTTGTGCTGCTGGAATTCCCAAAGGTGACATCTCCTGGGGGTGCATCAGTCCCTGCTGGGCACTGCCCCGTGCTCCCAGAGCCCCTGCCCTGAGCACTGCCCCGAGTCCTGAGCTCCAACAGGGCCCTGACCCTCAGGGCTGCACCCAGGGGCTGAGGAAACTCCAGCCAGGCATTTTTGCATCTGCAGCTCCTCAGCTGAGCATGTTATAAACATCTGTGCCTACCCTGCTGCAATTGTGGCAGTTTCTGGGTCAGTCCTGTGGCACAAACCCTGTGAGAACACCCCATGTGAGACCAGCCATCCTGCAGGGCTGTTTCTAATAACAGCCCTCAGCACTAGGCTGTGGCAAGAATTTTATAACATGGACTGAATTTATTTTATTTGTGGAAAAGAGGCATCCAAGGCTGTCCAGCTCCCAGCAGCACACAGGCAGTCAGGTACCCAATGCCATCACCTCCCTGCGTGGTGGATTGTGCTCATCTAAACTGTGGAACAGGTGGGGAAATTAATTCTGTGAGCTGTGCCTTGGCTCAGAGGAGCCAAGAGGTTCTCACACGTACCCACAGAGGTTCTGTAGCCAAGCTGAACAAGAACAAGCAACAGCTTGTTCTTTCTGCAGTGTCTTTACCACCCTGCCACTCTTCACATCTTCATTCACTGCTTTTTCTGTTTTTCTGAGTTTGGGCCGTGGTTTGCTGAGTTTAAACTCTGTGAATCACAGAATCATTAAGGCTGAAAAAGACCACCAAGATCACCAAGGCCAACCTTTTACCAAATGCCCCCATGTCCCCAAACCACATTGGGAAATGCCACCTTCACTTGTTTTCTGAACATTTCCAGGGATGGTGACTCTGCCACTCCCCTGGGCAGACTGTGCTTAATGACTTTCTCAGTAAAGAAATTTTTCCCAATATACAGTGGATGTGATAAACATTTCAAAAAAAAAAACAAACAAACAAACAAACAAACAAATTACAATTGGCGACCTCAAAAACCACCCAACTTTTTTAAAAAATTCCTAATACACAGTTACTCCTAGACATTCCGGATCTCCTGATTAATTTTTGCCAACTCTGACCTCTTGCAAGTATTCCCAAGTGATGACAGGTTGCTGCTCTTTGCCCCCAGGTGTGCTGTGGCTCTCAGTGGTGTCCGAGGTGTTGTACATCATGCTGTTGGTCGTCGGGTTCAGCCTCATGTGCCTCGAGCTCTTTCATTCAAGCAGTGTCATAGATGGGCTCAAGTTAAATGCCTTTGCTGCTGTCTTCACTGTGCTTTCAGGTATGAACCTCCCCTTCCCCTTTTTACCACCACTAAGCAAAATTCCACAACTTTGAGAGAATAAAAAACCGGAGGCTCCAAGACTCTCTTATCCCCATTTAGCTATCGCAATTTTTCACTGTAATTTTTTGTTCCTTTGGCATAAAGACTGTATGATAAATTCTCCTCTTGCCAGGGAGAAGTGAATATCCTCATTCCTGATTTCACAGCAGCAGTGCAGTAATTATCCTTCCCCAGCCTGCACAGCCATTACCACAGCTCCAGCCTCAGCTCCATTTGCAGCATCATCACACTCATTTTCCAGAGGAAAATTAAAAACATGTAAAGCTGAAAAGTCTTTTTTCTGTGTTAATCCTGAAAGCAGGTGAAGGCTGGAAAACCAAAGAGAGGAGCTCATCTTGTTAATTAACAAAATTGAGAATGAAAAGGGTTCTAATGCTGGCACTGAGGAGCAGCCCCAGGAGTGGCTGGGACATGCACATCTCTCAGAACAGCTTTTTGGGCTGGTTTTGTGCTCAGGCTGTACTTGGGACCCTTCACCATATGAACTTGAGGAGTTCACTTCTCTAAAATAACTCAAACTACGTGGTTAAGCGCCCCTTGACTTCCGTGAAGCTTTTTCTGGCTAAAAGCCCCACTTTCCAGGATTTATACAAGCAGCCAGGGTGCTCATGTGAGCACTCCTGCATGGACCTCTCTGGCAGAAAGAATTTCTGCAACAGAGGTGCATTTTATCCTGCTGTATTTCAGGCTGGAAGACATTACAACAGGCAGTGTACATTCTGGGAAGGACTTTTTATCTGCAGGGAAAGCTGCAAATGGTGAAATAATAACAAAAAGGAAAGGTCAGAAGTAGAGCTGAGTGACAAAAACATCTGATAAGAACTGCCAAAGCATATTTTTTTCAGCTTTGGATATAATCTGGAACTTAAAAAAAAAACAAAACAAAAAAAAAAAAAAAAACCAAAAAACCAAAAAAACCCCACCAGTTCCATTTTCAAAATCAAACTATGTGGATTTCTTCAGCATTCAATCAATTACTTCCATGCTGTTCCTCTCTCCCTTCACCATTAACTGCAGTTTTAAAGTTTGGTAGGAATGATGAAGTTTTCTTTCCTACACAACTTTCTATTTTTATTTTGGCCTTCCCTCTTTCTAAGTACATTGCCAAGATAGTCCAAATATAAACTTCAAAATTTTACAGGGAAAAATGATAGAGGAATTGAAACAAGGATAAACCCCAAACCCCAGTACATTGCTAGCTGTTATTTTCAATGGCAGGGATATCAGGGGAAAGAAGAAAACTATATTTATTTAAGCTTAGCATATTTATAATGACATAGCTTAATAGAAATTAGGTAATGAAGAGGACTTTCCATTGGAGCATAACACTCCTCATTAAATTCATGGTTGAGCTCCCTCATAAAAGTGCAATGAGATCTCCACACTCTTATAGCTCAACATCTAAAGTTTAGGAAAAAATATCCCAACAGTGTGGTCACTTATTGTTGTTTCTATGAGCCACTAAAAAATATCCCACAACATCACAATTTTGGTATCCCTCTTAACCTTCCACAAACTGAAAAACTTACATATGCCTCTTGTGTAATATTTACAATAAAACATTTTCATTAATGTGATATATTCCACAAATAGCATTTCTAGTATAAATATGGGAAAATGCTTTAAAATACATTGTCGTTTCCAAATTTCCTTCATCTCCAGCTTTCCAAAGCTCCTTAATTTCTCCCATTACTGACACCTCCAAGCAGCTCTGGTCCTGCAGGGCTCAGGATATCCAGCCAGCTATGAATGCTCAGTGTTTCTGCACTGCCAGCCACTCCAACACTCCACATCACCAGGATTTTCCACCTGCAAACACCTCTTGCCCTGGAGCCTGCATGGGCACAGGCATTGTGCCCTCCCTTCCCAGCCTCAAGCAACCAGCTGGGGCAAAAGATGATCCTGGGCATGGAGCTTTTGTTGGTTTGTGGTACAGGCAGCTCATTTTAGCTCATTAAATGTACAGCAAAGAGGACCAGAGGGTTTCCTCACAGGGCACAGCTAAAATAGACCAAACCAAAAGTGCATGAAGCAGCACAACAAAAGTTTTGCATTATTCTGCTTTAGTTTGGATGTGGCACAACAGCACCAACAGCCCTGCCAGATGCATATCCAGCCCCATCCCACCCTGGCATTAGGCAGATAAAACAAAGAACCTTTCCAGTGTTTGCTGGTGACCTCCTCCTCCTCACCTGGATCAGTGAGTGTCACCTCAGCCTCCCACACAGCCACAGGGCTGAAGGTGGCTCAAACCCTGAGCAAGGTTTGCGTGACAGAGCCCAGCAGCTCAGCCCTGCTGAGGCTCGTCCTGCCTGTGTCAAACCTCCTGCTGCCTCTGAGTGACTGTGACAGGTCTCAGGGCAGGCTGTAATGTTTTATTAGGGTTGAAAAATTACTGACAGGACATATAGAAACAGCATACTCCAAACTTAAGATCAAGGCACAACTGTCAGCTGAAGAAAAATCCACTGATTTAAAAAGTTCAGCAAGCTCCAGGTGCATTCTGGAAATTAAATAGAACCTGGATAAAGCAAGGTGTGCAGCACTTTGCTGTGCTCCCATTAGGCCACCCACCCTGCCCAAATCTCATTTCTCCTGGAGTGAATTGCTCTTTCCACCTCCTATCTTTGCAGTGTGTCACTCCAACACGAGGCAGCTGAGCAAATCAGCCCAGCTCCCTGTAACACCACGTCTTCCCTCAGCCTCTGCACTTGTTTGTATCAAATCTGACATTTGTCTTGCTGAAGGTCCTGCTCAACATGCCCACAACACAAACATTCCCCTGCTTCCCTCCCCCAGAAGTGCCCTGAATCATCCACATGTCTGGGGAGGCTAATTGAGTGGTTTAGGTTCTAAGAGTAAGAAGGAAAGAAGAGCCAAAACTTGGGTGTGGTTGGGGGAGGGAAATCAGGATCTTCCATGTATGGGAAGGGCAACCATAATAAAAATTAGATGGTCAGAGAAAACAGTGAATGAATGGTCAAAGTGTAGCACACAGACCTCACTGCACCCACCATGGCAGAATGTTGGTATTTCTAAGTGCCCTGAGCTGCCACTTCAGCACAAGAGGCTTTTGCACATTTATAGATCCAAGAATCATTTGGGATGCAGTGGTCCAGCCCCACCTCCTTAGCCTGAACCCACACTTTCCAGAGCTTGTTGGGGATCATCACCCTGCACAGCCCAGGTGCCATGGCAGGAACATCCCAAATTACCGTAGCTAGAAAATTCTCCAAGCCTCAGAGCTGCTCCTGACCATCACTGCTTGAAAAGTGGGGTTTGGTTTTCCTCAAAGGGCTGTTTAAATATAAAGTTCAGGGGTTTTTTTTTTCTGTTTAAACTGCAGGACTACAGTGGCCAGCTAAAGGCAGAGCCACTCAGGCCACCCTGTGATTTACTGCAGCCTTGTTCTTTAACTTCACAAGGACTGCAAGTCTGATCCTCACCCAGTGCAGTTCTCTCAGTGAGCTCTAACACTGTCCCAAAAGCATCACCAGCCCTGCACCACCAAAAGTATCCCAATGGGCTCCTCTCACCACACATCATCAGAACCAAGCTCACTTCACTTCCTGGTGCAGCTTCCAAGTGCTTTATGAGAGTTCAAATTCATAAATCTCAGCAACTGCTGGGACAGAGTATGGTTGTGTGGCGTGACACACTGAGCCTGCACTGCCTGAAGAAGCCTCTCCTCCTCCTCTCACCTGGGCCTGTCTGTGATGGGCTGTGAGATCTCTGTGGGTGGCACACCCCTGGTTTGCAGCAGCAGGGTTGGTGGGGATGCTCCTTGTGCAACATTTTCTTCAACGATTTTCTTTCTTCAACTCCTCTCTTAATTGAGAATTCAGAATGATGTAAAATAATGAGCTCTCAGTCACATCTTTCCTCTGCCCATGCAGCTCCCTCCTCCACAGTAGAACAGGAGGCATAAAAGTACAACAAAGACTTTTTTGGAGCTCTCAAAGCATTTCCAGCAGTAGCTCCCTCAAGAATGATAAAAAAACGTTGGCACAAAAATTCCTGTTCTAATCCCTGCTTCCCAGGTCTCTTGGGGATGGTGGCACACATGATGTACACTCAAGTTTTCCAAGTGACAGTCAGCCTTGGGCCAGAGGACTGGCGACCACACTCCTGGGACTATGGATGGTCCTTCTGGTAAGTGTCACCCCACGTTTGTCTCTTTTCTCTCTGGAGCTGTTCCATCAGCCTGTTGGGATGCTGCACACATCGCCTCCAATCCCAGGAACACCCTGTGGATTTCCAGCTGCCAAACCTGCAGGAGCACGAGCCCCCAGGGCCGAGCAGGTTTGGAGGTGTGGGGACAGGTCTGTGCAGCAGCAGCTGTGCTATCAGCAGGTACAGAGCATTTGTAAATAAACAGCACCCACAATTACCAACACAGATTGAGCACTCTCATTAAAGTTCAATTTAGGAACATAATTGCCATGGCATTTCTGAGACTTTGAGCTTCCCCCTCCCCCTCCCCCCTTGTTTTTAATTAATGTCTCAGTTGAACCTTAGGGTGCAGCTTTGAGCCCAACTGCAGAGGAAGGTGCAGTGTTCCTGGCATGATGAGACCTCCCTGTGGATCATGGGGAGAAGGCTTGGGAACATGGACATGGCTTTTTTTTTTTACCTTTCCCATTTATCTTCTAAAATCACATAAAACTAATTTTGCCCAGACACAGCAACTGTGTTATATTGCTTGCGCGTTTATAAGAAGCTTACCAAGAGCAGGAGGCTGTGGAGAATAAAAATACCTGCAAACAACATCCCCAGTCCTCCAGAGGCATCAGCCTCTTTGGATGGATAGGGAAAATACTTTCTTCTTGTAATTTCTAAATATAGCACATTATTTTCTTTCCATCTCAAAACAAAGACAACAATCTTTGCTAACACCAACAAGTAAATACTTCTTATGCACAGCACTGCAGGGAATCACAAGTCTTTCCTTCTCACCTCTTTCCACTGTCTTTCATAGGAAGAGTTACTACCATTTTAGCAACATATTACAAAATACAAATCACATTGTATCTAAAACACAGCTTATTTGGTGTCTCAATAATGAATATTTATTGCATGTGATAATGGACTTGTAAATACATTGCATTCACATATTTATAATATTTATATTAATATTTATAACAACTCTGTCACAATAATTGTATAATTTTCAATAGATTTAAATAATAAGGCATATTTGTCTTCAGTAATCTATTTTGTAATTTACTGCAATACTCACACTTCAAAATGTTGTTAAATGTCTTGCATGATAAACACTCATTAGATTATTCTCCTTCATCTTGTGCAAGCCAAGAGCCCCATGGCTCAGAGTGGGCACCAGGGTCCCTCAGGGCATCCCGAGCTCTCCCTGGGCCCACTCATCCCACCCACACTCCCTGCTGGGAGCTCTGTCCCACAGAGATGGAGCTGGTGTCTCATGGGAGATGGGGCTGGGAGCCAATGTCCCATGGGAGATGGGGCTGGGAACCAGTGTCCCATGGGAGATGGGGCTGGGAGCTGGTGTCCCACGGGGGATGAAGCTGGTGTTCCATGAGAGATGGGTTTAGGAGATGTGTCCCATGGCAGATAGAGCTGGCAGTCATGTCCCATGGGAGATGGATAGCAGATGGAGCTGGGAGCCGTGTTCCATGGGGGATGAAGTCCAGACCCCAGCCCTGTCCCAGAGCAGCCTCTCCCTCAGCTCTCCCTGGGCAACCACAGCCAGGGAAGGCCCAGTGGGCTTTGGTTCAAGGACCAGGGCTGCCCCTGGATTGGGTCTCACTGTGGAGGACTCTGAGATACTCACAAGCAGGGAATTATCTGGGAGCAACATCCCCTCTGCCCGAATTCCTGGGATGAGAGCTCTGCTTCACTCCACACAGCCACTCTGGGAGCTGAGCTGTCTCCAGCCACTGCAGCCACAAAGCTCCTTCTTGCATTTAGCAGTCTCCCTCCCTTCCTTCCCTGATGCTTCCAAGACAGCCCATTTATCCATGCAGGATGTGAGGCATGGTGCAAACACAGGCTCGGCTGGGCCAGGGCTGAGCAGCAGCAGCATTTTCAGCCTGCAGTGGTGCTCAGCCTGGGGACAGCCATGGGGGTCCCTCATGCCATGCTACTGATGGGTAGCAGACCTGAAAAAGGAAGGACTGGAGATCAAAAGAAGCAAAATCAAGGCTTCTGCCTTCCAGGTAACACTGAGCCAGCACTGTTGTACAGACCAGAGAACCTCCTCCCCTGGCAGCACCCAGACTCAAACACCTTCTTTAAAAAGGGTTAATTAAAAATGCTGACCCAGCCTGGTGGAAAACCACACATGTAGGAATTATTTTCAGACCTGGGCTCTGGTGATGTCCTGGAACATGAGCTTTGAGAAGCCCTGAGCCAGCTGTTGTCACCACCACCCTCAATTCCAGACGGCTGTGAATGTGCCACTGCAGCCCCCAGCCACAGAGCAGGGCCCAGAGAACTGAAACAGCCCTGGCAAGTGGGGCCAGGGAACACTGTCCCCAAGGCCCCGAGCCAAAGGGCCTTGGGGATCCACACTGCCATCCCTTTCCCAAGGGCCAGTGGGAAAACCAAGTTTTCTGTGACTCCACTTCCCCTCTATCAAAAGGGAATGATAAAAACACCCCTCCCCACAACGAGGAAGGGCTGCTTATGGTCTGCTCAGGTGTCTCAGGGTGGTGTGTGTTGTCCTACCCCATTCCCAAGCCATTGGCAAAGCCTGGAGGTTGTTCTGGGCTTTGGCACGAGTCAGGAATGCCCAGGGCATTCTCCAGACTGGGGATTTCATTGCCCCTGAGGATCAGGAGATGTTTGAGTTCAAACTCTCTAAAGCAAATAAATATAAAAAGCCTGAGCTGTTTGAGCCATGGAGGAACCTGAGAGCCCAGCCCTGAGCTCAGCTGCAGGAGGATCTATGGGTGCAGTCCCAGCACATCTGGGGCACAGCTGGCACAGAGTGTTAACAACATTGCTGTTAAAGAGGCCTTCACCTAAGGCAGGTGTAACTCCTAGGGTAGGACAACCACTCTTTACAATTCAAAATAAATAGCATTTAACCAAGGTGCATAAAAACTAAAGTACATCTATCCTAATTGCCTAATTACTGTGATTTCCCAAATGCCAGGCACTGAGAGTCTTCATTCTGTATTTCCTTCTCTGAACCTTTCAGCACTTCTGATTTCATCAGAAACCATCAGTAACATCCAAGAGAAATTCTCCCCAGGCACCTCCCAGGCACAGTGTGCTTTTGGCTGCCTTCTTCCTGGATACTACTCTGGAGCCCAGTTGGAAATGTTTGCAGCTGCTGGAGCTCTTCCCCACACCCTTCGTGGGAGGCAGACTCAGGCAGGCCAGGAAGATGCTGTGCCTGGCCACTCACACCTAGCACAAGCTCCCTTCCTGCTTCTCCCCCCAGCCATGGGAAACTTCAGGGAACTTTGTCACCCCAGGGTCACTACATTTCCTTCTCATTTGATTGCATCTGGCAAACAGGTCCAAAATTGACAGGGAAAGAGCTGCCTCCACACATCACATTGCCTCAGGAGTCCCTGCAGGACTTGTTATAAGCTGAATTTTGAAATCATTGAAATGAGCCATTTCTGTTTACTTGAGCCATTTTTTCCCCCAGATTTTTCAGTCCATGAATATGTGCTCTTTTTCAAGTTTTGTCTAATTTGAAATGAGAAACTGCTTCCTTGTCTGCAGGTCCTTTGCAGAATGGGAAAATAGCTCATGCTGAGAGCTGTGTTGACAATGCGTATTTATAAGATAATGCTACTGGGGCTGGATACTTTCTGCTCTACATAATTCACATCAATTTGTTATAGAAAAAGTGCAAAAAGGAGCAGGTAAAGTGTCTCACCATCACAGGTGATGGAGTTAATCCAGCTTGCTTAGGCAGCCACTGTGAACTATGTGTAGCCAGAGTTGATGGGCTGAGTGTGAAGCCAAGGGGAGCTGGAAGGCAGAGAAGCTCTGCAGACAAAAGGAGAAATTCAGGACCTGGTTTTGCAGCCTCATTTCATGCTCAAAAAGCATCTCGACTCCTTGGGGCCATGAGTCCCTCACCAGCCCCATCTGAACTTGAGGTCAGGGAGAACAAGAGAGGCTGGGGAGAAACCCTGTCCACAGGCAGGGAACAGTGCAGCTCCCAGCTGACCCTGCTCGCCAGCAGACCCAGGACAACGCTTGCTGCTGTTCCAGCTTGGCCCTGGGCCAGTCTCTTATTTTCTTCCCCTCTCCCTCTGCCTCCCTGTGCTCCTGGTTGGTACTTGCAGGTGTCCTGGCCCTGGCTTGCCAAGGTTGGCTGGCACTGCCTTCACTCTGGGGGAGTCAGCCAGGAAACTCCCAGGCTGGTGATCTACAAAATGGAAGTGTTGTCTTCTGTTCTGGTCAGGCTTTCAGAGACCAGGCAGAAGGCAGGAAGGCCAGAGGTGTCCATGAACCAGGAAAGAAGGAAATACAGTAGTCTGACAGAGGCATGAAAAGCAGATTAGAAACCATCCCTGCAGTGGCATTGCGGAGCCAGTGTCCCAGGGATGGGAGAACTGCTCCAAAAAACTCTCTGACATTGCTCCCTCCAGGAGTGTGTGGGGTTTAGCACTTGTCTGCAAGGCTCTGGGGCATTTCAGAGGAGATCAGGAGGTGTCTGGCCATGGTGGCACTAAGTGTTCACCTTAGCACAGGGTTCTCCATGGCACGAAGGCTGTGCCCATCCTCCTGCCTGCCTGAGCACAAGCCACAGGTCTCAGGAGGTAGGATGAGCTTAGATGAGATGGGTTTGTCACCTCCAGCTTCCCTGCCTGCTCCCACCTGTGTGTGTGTGTGTCAGAAATATGGCATGAGCTGCTGTGTAACCCAGCTCTGTCTGCTGGTTTCTCTCTCCACAGTCTGGCGTGGGGCTCCTTCACCTGCTGCATGGCGGCCTCCGTCACCACGCTCAACTCTTACACTAAGACTGTCATTGAGTTCAGACACAAGCGCAAAATCTTTGAGCAGGGCTTTCGAGAAGAGCAGAACTTCCTAGACCAGGAAGCCATCAAGTACTTCAGAGAAAGGTCAGTGCAGTCAGTCACTCCATCAGGGGAGGTTTCCATGGACTCTGCTGGTTTCAGAAAACCCAGGCTCTCACCCACTTCAGCACTCGTGGGTGAGACTCTGAGGCACCTGGAAAAGGTGTGTGTGAAAGGCAAACTCAAAAGGTCCTCCTTGGTTTGGTTTTTCATAAACTTTGTGCTGCCACAGTGCCCACCCTTTCTCCTGTACTCATTAAAATCTTTACAATACGCACCCAATTCACAAAAAGCCGTGCTGCCAATGTCAGCTGATTTTCCCTCTCTAGAAAGGTAAAATTGTGGGGGTGTACTGAAGGTGACATCCATCCTTCCTCAGCACGTGCAAAAGGCACCTCCCAATAATCCCAACAGCTGCTGAGGCATTTTCCAGCCACCAGCAGGCCACTTTGGAGCTGCCATCTCCCACATGTGGTCCCATGCCCACAACCCATCCCTGGCTGCTTTGCACGACCCATCCTCTGGAGCAAATCCCCCCAAACTCAGCAAAACACCCACACGGTGCCACCCACCCAGTGCCACCCACCCTGCCACCAGGGTCTGAGGTGGGCTGGAGGCCTGGTGGGTCCCAAGGCCCAGAGATGCTCTGTCACCCTGCCCAGCAGCTGGCCCTGTGGCTGCTCCAGCAACCTCCTGCCCTCATTCTTTGGAGAGAAAGTTCAGGCTTTTTTTTTTTTTTGTGAAAAAACACCAATCCTGGGCTCACACAGCAGGGATGGGCTCCACAGGGGGATGGATCCTCTCAGGATGAAGAGCTGAGAAGTACAGAAAATCCTCACCAAAATCTATGGCCTGAAGTGATACAAAGACATTTTGGGGGCAGGAAATACAAGCAGGTTGCATTGCTGTTTGTCAGACCAGTGGGGCAGTTTCTCCATGGTGGAAGACAGTGGTTGGGAAGCTCTGAGGGGACAGAAGGTTTGGAATGATCAGCATTTCAGCAGCAGAGTGAGGAGCTCTCTTGAGAGGGCAGAACTAGAGAGCTTCCAGGATTATTGCTTTCCCTTGGTTATCTCAGTCATTATTCTGTTGTTGCAGTTATCCCTGTGCTAACGTCCAAGTTTTCACTCTACCTTTCAGACAGTCTGGAAGGAAAAGAGAAATGAGGCAAACAACCATGATTTTCCTAATTTTGCATTTGAACATGACAGTGAATTCTAAAAAATTCTCTGTGGGAGAAAAGAAAGCCCAGACACAGTGAAGAGGAAGGGGTCAGTGTGTGCCTCAGGGTAAATCAGCACTAAGGGAGGGAAGCCAGACAAATTTTTGAAGTGAGAATTGCAGATAGGAGCTCAGGAGAATTATAAGGAGCAGAGTTAGATTGCAAGATGCTAAGTTAGATTGGAGAATGCTAAGGAAACTTGTTGAAGTACCACTACTGGAAGAGTAAATAGCAGGATATATTAATGGCCCAGAGGACAGGGACCTCTCTCTCTCACATGGGCATTGTGGGTTTGGTCTGGGCTCCTCCTGCCCTCACAAGATGACACAATTCCACCCCCAACAATTCCCTCCTCGGTCACCTCCTCCCAGCCCTTCCACACGCACTTGGCACACTCAGCTCAACCATGTGGTGTTCCCTAACTTCATGATTATGACTTTCTTTTTTTATATCACATTATTTTAATTGTTGTATCTGAATACATAATAGGAAGCCCAGAGACAGTGTTACCATGGGATCATTCTAGAGATTCAAAGCTGTGCAGCAATATACTAATTTTTTTTTAATTTTTAAAGTGATCATATTCATGCTCAGCTTCAGTGCTGTGCCCTGGGGATGCTCTGACTGCAGGGGTCATGGGGCTGTCCATTAACAACACCCTGTTGCTGCACGCTGTGGGTGCCCTCAGTCCCACACAACTTCCCTGAGCTCCCATCTGCCTTTGCACAAATAGAAAATAAAATAAATCTTCTTTCCTTCCTGTGCACATACCCAGGGATACTTCACATTCCCTCCTACTCCTCCACCTCCATGTTCCTTTTCATACCTCATGAATAAAACCCTCCAGCCTTTCCTCCTTCCAGTTACTTTGCAGATATCTTCACCCTTTTTGCCTGCTCCTTTGCCTCAGTGCAGAGCCAGCACCCCCTGGACACACATCCAACCTCTGGGCTGGACACACCCTGTGCAACAGGCACTTTCCTGTATGCCTCTGAAAATTCAACTTCTTCATTATTCCAACAGTTCCATTTAGCACCTGGGACTCGGGCAAGGAAAGTGTCAGCCCCATTTTGTATGATAAAACTTTTTTTTTGTTGGAATATTATCCTACAGGCCTCTGCTCCCAGGGAAGAAATTTGCTTTATGAAAAGTACTGACAGTAAAATGCTGCTAATCTTGCACGTGTTTTCTCAACTCTCTCATTGTATTGTGCTTTGTTTTAATTGCATGCAACTGCACAGAACAGCAGAAGATCTGCTGGAAATGTGGATGTAAGAAATGGTCCCTTGGGAGCTGCCAGCTGTGCTGCTGTCCCAGGAGGTGCAGGGGATGATGATCCTCATCACCCCATGGTTTGCTGTCTGACCCCCTCCAGCAGCTCCATCCCCTCCCCTTGCACAGCAGCCTGGCCTGCTGCTCCTTGACCTCAGTGTCCCCATCCCAGGGCAGCCTCTGCTCTGAGAACGTGGGGAAGGCCTTTAACACCACAGGAATGTCAGTGTGCACCCCAAATTCTGCTCCACAGCTCAGCCAGCACAGGGAGCTGCCCAGCCCTCAGTCAGTCACGAGGAGCACATCCAAATCCCCTGCCCCCCTTACCCTGAGCATCTCACTGCTCCTGCCACTGGGAAAACATTGAAGCAGCTGCTGAAAAATCAAAGATTCATGGTGTTACATCACTTATGTCCTACCCAGGCCTGGATACTTCGAAAAGTCCAGACAAAACAGACTCTGTGGCTCACACTATAAAACTGAAAGATAGCAGAGCTCTTCAGCTATAACAGGTACAATAGCCCTCAGGGTAACTCTGAGAAAACCAGGTCAATTATACAGAATTGGAGGTATTATTCATGCTCTAAGTGTTCTATAAAATTATCAGAATTAACTGCAAAGTCAGCTTTCAGTCTTTGTCCTTCAAGTGTTTTTCCTTCTTTTTTTGTATGTTTTCCTTTGAAATTAATATCTGTCTATAACTTTTGCTCATCTTTTTCATTTTTTTTAGTTCATTGGATGTCAGTTCATAACAAGAATCTTTTTTCCATCCCTCCCAGTTTCTCTTCCTGCTCTTTTTCACATGAACACTCTTGCCCCATGTGGTCATGAGCACAGTCCCTCATCTGAGGTTTAGCCCAGCCAGCAGAGGAGGAGCCGTCACTGCCCTCCTGCTTCCTTCCTTCCTGCTCTGAGGATCCCTTTAGGAATTAGTTCTTATATGTTACCTGTTTATCTGTAATAAAATATTGTTTGCTGGGTTAATTTGCAAGAAGAAAAAATTAGCTCAGTGATCTTGAGATTCATTCTTGCAGGTATCTCGGCATTTTGCTAGATGTCACTTTAAAATGCAACCTGGCCTTTGCTGTTGGCAGTGTCGTCCTAGCAGAAAAAGGCCATTATACAGGTAACCACTGGAAAAATCCAACTCTGTATCTTTCAAATAACTAACAGGAAATTAATTGATACAGAAAGTAACAGTGGTTTATCTTAAATATGTGCCTTTTTTTTTTCATTTAGTCATTTTCAATTAATTAATCAATAATCATTTTCTAAATCTTACAGCCTGTGCTTTATGGAATATTAAGCCAAAGATAAGCCAAAGGGACGGGGATTCTTTGTTCTGTCCCATAAAGTCTGATAATCTCTGTGACAACAGCTGCAGGGATGGTGACAGACTTTCTCCTCTTCCCCTGCCCAGCTGTGTAGGAGCTGCTGTTTGAGCAGCTTTAGCTCTCCCCTGCTGTTTTGGCAGATTTTTCCCTATGGCTGTGTAATAATTAAGATGCATTCAGAAGAATTCTGCTCGTTTAGACCAAGCAGCTCCACCAACAGCATCCCCACATCCACCCAGGCAGGGGCCAGCACAGCCAGCTCACCCAGGCTCGATGTCTTTCCCAAGTTTCTTCTCAGTTTCTTGCCCTCATTTTTTTCAAACATTAAAAAAACCCTTTCAGGCACCCTTCCCACCACAGCTTTCCCTTCTCCCAGGATTCTGGTGGATTTTGCTCTCAGGTAAAGAATGAAAACTTTCCTCTCTGCTGCTTTGCTCTGCTGGGGGCAGGGCAGGAGCTGCTGGTGGGGTGGAGGGAGCCCCAGGCAAGGGGCACAGCTGCAGGGACAAGGACAGGAGCAGCTCCAGGGAGGACAAGGGAATGTCCAGGGATGGAGGTACATGAGGACTGAAGCCTGAGGTGAGGGATACGGGGGCTGAAAGGGTGGAAATCAAATCTAAGTGAGATCCTCATGGAGAGCTCATCACTGCCCCAGGCAGGGAATGAAAAGTTTGTGATGTGAGGGAACTGGAATTACCCATGGGCCTCTTTAGTGGGAACAAGAGCAGCTTTTGGATGTGCATCCAGGCTGCTCAGGAGTGCAGAGTCCCACTGGAGCTGAGCCCACTGCAGAGAGGGGTCAGGGGATTTTCCCACCCTGAGACCCCCGAGATCAGCACAGCCCTGGTTCAGTCTGGGATCCAGCTTCATGCTCCCTGTGATGCCAATCTCACTCACCAGGGGCTGTTAAACCAGCATATTTAGCAAGTAAATCTGGAAGATTCAGCCTCCCCCGGCTCACCCATCCGTAGCACAGCGTTTGCAGCTGTCCATCAACACCCATTGTGCCTCTGCAGCTGATTTCACAACATTTTTCTTGCTGACTGGGCCCTTACTCTGATCTGCAACACCAACCTAAGCAGGCAGATGCTACTGGTGAAATTCTGGAGTGAGCTGAGTTCAAACTGCCATTGATAGCAGTGCATACAAAATGTCTCTGCAGGGACAGAAAATGTAGTTTTAAGTGCTAGGAGCAGTTTGAAACAGACAGCAGGACCAAAGCTATTGCAGAGCTAATAAATCAGGACTATTCCCAACACTGTGAGAACCAGAACTTTTCAAATCATCATTCACACGCCATTTTTTCCCTTTTTGCACATTTCTGTAATGTATCATACTCACAGCTTGCTTCCTCTAAGTCCATTGTTCTCGTGTCAGATGTGCAGATCATACCAATGCCTTCCAAAGACATGCCAACCTTTTGCTCTGATTTCCTGCTTGGTCACCCAGGTACCTGAGCAGGGTTTCAGTTACTGACCTGATGTTCCTCCCACTGGCAGAGTCAGTAGCTCTTCACACAGACACCGATTTTTCCAATGTTCCTATTCCCCTTTCATCAGTGCACAGGGATGAGTGCAACCTCCTGCCTTGGATTTGTTCTGTACTTTATTCTGCAACACAGGAAGCTTTATCCACAGAGCTTCTCCATCTGGAAATCACATGGACTGGCAGTAAAATGGTGCAGCAGCATCAGCAGCATCCCCACTTCCAACACACACGTGCTGCTGGGCTCTGGTGCTTAGATCCACTCTAGAGAGGGGAAGAGTGGAGAGATGCAGCCCTGAGCCCCTCATTTCTATTCCCCATGGCCTCTTTACGTGAGCTTGCCCCAAGAGGGGCAAAGCCAGGGGAACCAAGTCCTTCCTGAGCCCATCACCATCTGCGTGGTGGGCCTGGCTGTAGATGGAGGAGCCCAGGTACGTTGGACATTATTGGTTTTGACCCTTCCATTTGTGTACATTTGGGAGCAGCCTTTCTTTCTGTTCAAGGTGCTACTTCTATATTCTCTTTTCCAGGACTGAGGAGGAGAGGGCTGAGGCTGGGGACCTGAGGTTACAGTGCCTCCATAGCTGCTCCCCAAATAGTAAGTGACATGAATGTGTCTGGTACACAATGGCTTGTACTGCCCCCACACTGGCTCCCAGGGCCCAGAACCAGGTTTGGAGTAGGAAGCTTTGGGAATAGAGGTTTGTTGCTTTCCCACACAGCCTTGCCCAAGAAATAACCAACCAGCATAAGAACAGTACAGAATTCACCAGCATTCCATTTAGGATGTGCACATATCCTATAATTTTGTGTTATCTCAAGAAGCTGTGACTTCATAGTAGTTTAAAAATATGCTCTAATTTACACCTGTATAACTTTCATTATCACTACCTTTTTTCATCTATCTTTATCACCAATTCATGATGATGCATGCTATTGAATATAAAAATGATTGAAAGCAGCTTTGGTAGACAATAACGTTAGTATAATTAATGCCATTTCTTGCACTTTCTCTGGAAATTGCTGTGCTTTTATTCAGTGCTTGCAAAAGCTCTTGCTTTAAGCTATGGGAATCAGTGGTTCAATGTACAGAGCAATGTTGGAGCATGGCTCCTGCCCTGCTCTGAATACTATACTTTTTCTTTACTCTCCAGGAAAGATGTGTGCAGTTTCATGCATCTATTTCCTTGGAAAGAAAGCCAGTGATCCTTCATTCAGCAGGAGGGAGCCTTGGGAGAGTGACTTGCTGGCTCTGCGCTATTAAAATTTGGAAACCTCATGGCATTTTGCTGCCTCTGTCTTGCTGAGATGCACATCTCAGCCACATACTCATGGAAGCTTGGTGTCTGTAACCCCCACCCCTGAGGGTCCTGCTCCCTCCCCAGACCTGCTGGAACAGCTCTCCAGTCCCATGTCACTGCAGGTGGTGTCCCCACAGGCTTGATAGTGCTGGCACTGCTCTCCAGCTCGGTTTGTCATCAGCTCACTCGGTAACTCCTGCTCCTTGAAAATGTCATGTCAGTCATGGACCTCTCCACAGGCAGATCCATGTCCTTCATTCTCACAGGCCTGAAAATGTCTATTGGTACAAAATTGATCTGGGTCACGTTTCCTGAGAAAGTTCCTCACCTGCCAAGCTCCTGGCGGGTGCTCAAATGTGTTTATTTTGTTATTGAAGCCTGTCCAGAGGTCTTTGTTTCAAAGAACCAATAACAAGTCTTGGCAATAGGTGCTCCAAGGAATAGGCTTTGCTGTGGCCAGCCCTGTCCCAAGTATTTCCATTTTGAAGGACCCAGAGCTCACCCCATAGAGTGCTGTCAGCACTGGGAAAGCAAACTCCAAAGGAGAAGCCCAGAGTCAGGTTAAAGAACAGTGGCCATCCCTCAATATTCCATCAGGCTCAGCCTCACATCCGTTACCTTCTGTAATGAAATCAGATCAATATTAATGAAGTGACAGGAGGGAAGTTGTGCTCTCAGTTCACAGTTTACTTACAAATCCAATAGAAGCTGCAAAATGCTCATTATCCATGCTTATTAGGGAGGAAAAACCATTGCTTACTGCTGCTTGGGATGGCACAAAGCCTCACAACGCTCAGATGAACTTCTCCTTCCTCAAGCAAGTCCACCAAGCAATAACTGGCCTGGGCCTTATCCCAGGATCCTCCTTGATGCTGGTTCCAGGGTCCCACACTCCCAGTCCTTGTCACATTCCCCGTTCCAGGGGCCCGTGGCCAGCAGAGGATGGAGAACAGCAGGAGAAGGGTTTGGCTAAAGGCAGAGCAGCCACCAAGGTCACACTGACCCCATGGGGCATGTGGAAGAAGGGGATGCATCACCTGGAACAGACCAGCCCAGCAGCCACGTGCCACCAGCAGAGGAAATGCCGGCAGGTCACCAGGAGCACTCCATGGACACTTCCACAGGGGTGATCCCATGCCAGCAGCACACCAGGAGGCACCAGCTGGAGTTATTCCTGCTGCTCTCCTCAGCCAGCACCTCATTCCCTGCAGGACCTGCCAGCACACCCAGAGTGCTCTGAGGAGGTTCCAGCCTGAAGCCAACGCAGATGAGGAGTACTGGCTCATCCTCAGGCACCGTGAATCTTTCTGTCCTCCCAGCAAGACAAGACAGGGCATCTGTCCTTGTTGAGAGGAAAGGATTTGGGGGAGTGTCACTGAGGAGTGAAAGAGCAAAAGCTGTAAAGAGGAGAACAAGGCTGAGCAATTGTGGAAGACAAACACTACCTGGCCAGGTGATTTTGGAAGAGAGAATGTTAGAGGTTTTTGAGCAGCCCAACAGCACTGTGGGAGCACAGGTAGCACAAAGGGCCTTATGTCAGGGCAGGATATCAGGTTCCTCTGTTGGCAAGACTGAGCTCTCCGTTTTGAGAAGTGGCCCTAAATTATAAATTCCATCAGAAGCTTGAATTCAGAGTAGACTCAATCAGGACAATGCAGTTATTCAGTCTTGATAATTCTACATTAAACTATTTAATGTCCATCACTGAACTATAATTTCCTTTTAACAGGGTTAAAAAGAAAATTATTTCCTTTGAGCCCCTTTAGCAGGGTTTAAACTTACCTGAGCTGAGACCAGCACCAGGGAGCTCTAAGTATAACTTGGCATCCTCTGCTCTCCCCAAGCTGCCTTCCTGTGCAAACATATGGCACTGGCCCTATACATCTGATACCCCCGGACATACCAAATTTAGCATTTCCAGACACTTTTAAAGTCTATTTGCTGTCATTTTGACCTTGGAGGTCTCAACTTTTTCTTTCAGAAGTGCAGGGCTGGGAGATCTCAATATTCCAGCTGTGTATAGCCCCTGCACAAAAAATATAGAAGGAGAAGTTCCACATCAGGATATCTTTGTTGTTGTTGCACAGTTACTTATTAGCAAGAAATGCTCACTGTTATTAAGCTCCAGCCAGCAATAGTCCTTGATTTCAGACATCTGTATGTCCATGCACTTCCACCCTTTCCTCCAGAGTTGTCCCACCATGAGGCATTAACATGAGGAGCCTGGATCCACGGGGCAGGTGGGAGAGGTGCAGATGGTGAATGTCAAATGGGCAAGAGAGAGGCAGGAGAAATATCACAAAGGACAAGGAGGAACAGGTGTGGTGGCAGAGCCAAAGAAGAGATAAATAGCCCAGAAGAGGAGGAGCTGAGCAGGAAACAGCAAATTCTTACTGTCTGTGGCTGAAAGCCTTGGTGTTATTTGAGGCAGATAAACCCAGAGTTCAGGACACCAGCTTCTCTTGTAGAAAACTGAGAGATTATTCAAAATTAATTCAGTGTTAAAGAAATAATATGTCACTGTTTTGGCAGCGTGGGCATTTCAGAAGGGTCACCTGACAAAGAGGAGGCCTTGAAAAAAATAGTTTTATTCTCATGTCATCACCCTGTAGGCATTTCCCCTGGGTCCATCCTACAGCTCTTTTACCATCCTCCCACCCTGGCTGTCTACAGTGAGATTTATGCAACCAATCCCTCAGTGCTTCACTCTAAAGCATAGTGTAATTTGTTCCTATTCAGACAAGTTCATCAGAAGAACTCTAGGTTTAAAACACGGTGGAAACAATTCATTAAAAAAACCCAAAGAGTATCCACTGGGTTGGTTTTTTCCCCTCACTCATGAGTGCCATTGAAGCGAAGTGGTGCTGGATGTGCAGGCAACTTTCAAATGTCTCCAAAAAAGTCTGTAGCACCAGCTCAGCTGGAGAGGGCAAGGCACAGACGGCAGCCAAGGTCACTGTGACAACGGGGAACATGCTTTATATGCTGAGCAGCACAGGCTGGGAGGCGGCAGACAACAAGGGCTTGACGCATTTGAAGTGTCGCTCAAAGTTGAGCCAAGGTTTCTCCTTGTGGAGGTACCTGACAGCTGCAATCAGCTGCCTATTTCATGTCAGCATTGATTCCAACTCCAGGTCTTGCAATTCTTCCTGTAATTTATTCAGTTCATAGTGATTCACCACATGAAAAAAATGTGGTGGGGAAAAATCCCCTCTGATAAAGCACCATGGTTACGGGTCGAAGATCCAGCCTCGCTGCGCTGACGGCAGTGGGAATCTCACTCCTGTCTTCAGGCAAAGCCTTGCCCACTAGGAAATTCCAAAGCTGAAGGTCTCAGTTCTGTCCTCATTTACCTCTGCTAACATCCAGACTGACATTTTGCTTTAACATTGCTTCTTGAGCTACCAGTTTTTCTGCTTCCGAGATAAGGAGCATGATAAAAGTAGATGCAGTCCTGTGTGGAGCATGGCAGCTCGTGAAAACTAAGGGGAGGAAAAGGGAAGCAAAATAAGCTGACAGTTTATAATACATTTTTTGTTTCCTCCAGTGCACAGGTGAATTGAAAGGTTTCTTATATAAATTTCAGTGGGATTAGTTATGAAACGTGCTTTCTGTCACTCTTTTAAATTGCATCTTTCAATAAATGCTTCATCTCCTACAGCTAATCCTGGATTTGTGCAAAAAACTCCCCAAACCACCCCCCTCAAAAGCCAACCCTGTCCCACACTGCTAAACATGTGAAATGAAGTCTTTGAGACTGTATGTGCACCCAAATAGCCTTTCACTTACTGTGCATATGCTGTTCCCCCTAGAGTGGAGGTAGGGATTGTTCTCAGTTCAGTTCAGATAGTTTGACATGGTGAGATATTTTAGGATAAATACATGTCATTTTAACAGCCAAAATGCATTTTTGTTTTTATTGCCTTAAAGTGGAGTTGTCTCTTGTCTCCCACAGTCCAAAGCCTGAGCTACTGAGCCTGACACGCAAGGAAGGGGCAGCAACCCCTCTGAGCCAAATAACTGGTTTTTCTGTAAGAAAAACCCTTTTATTCATCAGGGACTCTCCTGAGCAGGCACCATAAAGTCAGTGGGAACAGGGACAGCTGAGAGGTTCCAGTGGAAGAGAAGGATGGTGAGGTGGGACTCAGAGGGGAGAAAAGTGAGAGAAGGAAGGGGAAGGGGAAGGGGGAGGAATAAATTATTTTCATAGTTAGGCAGAAGCACAGAATAGCAGAGTGTGGACAGGGACCCTGGAGGGCTCTGGTCCAGTCCTGTGCTCCCAGAACATCCAGGCTGGATCAGGCTGCTCCATTCCTTGTCCAGTTAGATGTGAACACGTCCAAGGATGGAGATCCCAGTCCCTCTCCTGGCCTCTACCCCACTGTTTGAACACCCTCAGGGTGAAAAAGCTTTTCCTCATCCCCAGTGGGCAGTTCTGCCTTCCAGTCCTGTTCAGCCAGGTTAAGAAGACAAGGCACTCCCAGGTGCTCCCGGGGACACGTGTGAGCTTGTTTTCTCTCCTGCCCTTTACATAACCCATTTTATGATTCCTTTTAGGCTCTGCTTTTATGCAGTAGCTCTGTAACTGTCTGCATTTCCAATTATAAAACCTTTAAATTTGATTTAGACCTGATAATTAAGCTGTGATTTAGCAAATTAACCCTATTGAAGCCCAGAGGTGTGAGACATGCTCTTTAGAACCTTAAATGTTTGGTGTTTAATTGCATCCAACACTGAGAAAAGTGCAGGGAGGAGCGGAAGTGACTGTGTAGCTAATTCAGGTCGCTGGTGCTGACAGGACAGGACCTCATGCACAGATCTCACACATCCCATCCAGACCAGGATTTGCTGCTGTCTTCCACCACAAGGATTTACCAGATGCACAGAAAGACTCAGTTGGTCCCTGGCATCACTACAAAAGCTCGTCATGTCCTTTGGCTGTCAGAATCCTGCACTATGATCT